TACACATAACGCATCCGCGCTGTGTCGGTCACGTAAAGTTCAAATTAACGTTCTGTGTGATTAACCCGCCGCCGTGGTGTCTCTCGTGGTCATCACGGAATTACGTACCTAACACAGTTTGTTTCCAATAGATCTGTTCGTTCTGACGAGGTCTTTTAACAATAATACGATAGCCTAGAAATAGACAGGCGGCTGGTTCCTCTATCAAGGTTGTCTATTTTCAGCTAAGGGTGAGAGCCTTTCACGACGACAACGCGATGCCATTGTCTCTGATTGACAATAACGATGATACTGAACAGGAAATTATTAATGATATTTTCTGTTTCCTATTTTATACACTCAGTGTTGGGTGTTTTATTGGAGACAACAGGGAGTGCAGTATGGGAGTGTTGTCTGTGGTTAATGGTATTCGCCATCAATCGGTTCTGATCGAATTTGTTCAAATTATCGTTCTTCTACATTATTGATTAACTTGTCATTATAGAGTACAAGAAACTATGCTGTTTGTATGACAATCGAATTGCGGTGGCCCTGTGGTTAAGGTACTTGCTTCTCAAGCTGAATACTCGGATTTAATTTTACATGATTACAAAGTATGTGACTCTCCTTGAATATTTCTCCGTTATAGCAATGACATAGGGCTTAAAACAGTATTCTACGCACACACTATAATCAATAGTCTAGATTCTGCTCTGTCTGGGATAACTGGTTCTGTAATAAGTGAAAATGATAAAACCATTTCAAAGATCAGACGAAATCTCTACTAAATGCAGGCCATTGTTCGATTCCGACTCTATCAAAATCAAGTGTTTATGGAGGACTGTAATGATACCAGGTGCCCGCGAAAACATGAGTGTGTCCTGCCCCACCGATGGCACCCGTGACAAACGCATGCAAAGGCAAGTCAACTGGTCACCTGAAACAAAGGAACATATGGTCCAAGTTGCGAATAGTATGAAGCATTATTGTAGTCACAGATACTTCAAAGTTGGAAATGCCTTCCATATCTCTATTATAAGCCGTTTAAAAAGATCCACTAAGGCCTCGACTGAGACTCATTATGATTTTACATTACGTTCCTTTTTAATTTTGCAACCATAGTGTATAGGTGGATGTATATAAAAGAATGTGCATACATGCACGCATAAGTGCGTGGAAAATGTATGCATGTACATTTTACAAGCATACATTAAACGACACTTGATCTGTCAGCTTCGGGGGTGAACCCGCTACTAATTTATAGGCGTCATTTGACGATGTGCTGCTTAGAAAATTACACAAAACAATATTGTATAATGTATAATGCCCACATCAATACATAATCCAATCCTCTCATGGTTTCAGAAGTCTCTGCAGCAAAAAAAACAACAAATTAATCCCAGGGCCTTTACTTTGTTATACACCTCCCGCAGATGAACACCATGTTCATTATTCTGATTCCTTTGAACGTCTTGCTTTGATGTGGTCTGGCTGGTGTGTTGCATCAAGTGCAGGGTTGTCAATATTAATGAAGATACGTTACACAGACAGTGCTGCATGGGCAAGTGGCTTATATTATTTAATAAGAAGAAGAATCACTAATTGGTAAAAATGTGAATATGTCTTTTCCATGTTTTGTATTTTTTGTTTTTTTTCTTGCATTTTGTGCGCCCCCTTACCCTTATGTTATTGAAAAATAGAAACTTTAACGAAAAAACACTAAAATTCTTTAAGTTTACAGGCAGAATAATAAAACTCAGCTTATAATAAAAAATATATTACTGAAACATTCATGATCGTAATGGCAATAGAATTTTCTTCTCTTGAGTCGATCTGTAATCTGTATCATACAGTTTTGCGTGAATACATGTAGCAATGTAAAAGCCTACTCGTCAATCTGATGCTGTCCAGTTGCATCAATATTCCAGCATAATCACGGCGGGATACTTCAATAATGGATTTCACACAGTGCACCCATCTTAGGAATCGAACCCGGGTCTTCGGCGTGACGAGAGAACACTTGAACCACTAGGCTACCTAACCACCGCCTATAGCTATGAACTTTTTGTCTCACTTTGGAAGATTCACACTGTTCTTATCTTACCAGCTTGTAATGCATACGTACATTCGTATACATAATCCCCGCTTCGATAAGACAAGGAAACTAGAAACAATTTGGGTGAGCTGCTTTTGCACTTTTGGTGGTGACTGTTATAAGTGGCTCCCTAAACGCAGCGGAGTATGAGTAAGCGGCAAACTAAATCTGTGGACTGACTTCCACTGCAGACAGGTGAATGCATGAAGAATGTGTCTCAACCCCTACCTCTGTGATTTGGAGCGAGTTTGAGTTGTTCGGTATGAACATCATTGATGTACTGTAGATGGATACCTACATGTTGTAGTGATTTATTGTGTTATCGACATACAAAAAATGCTATGGTGCTCAGGGCAATAGCATCCCTTGACGAAAACACGTGTGTTGCAGATTGAGCCATCTTGCATCATCACGACCATATTTTCCATGTACTCAATTTGCGAACACCTGGTGTCATCACTGATTTTCAATTATCCATTCATATAATTTTCCCACTATTTTGCCTTTTACGGGCAGTGGAATCTTTTTTAGCAGATGCTCGACTCTAATGTTTCTCTGGCGCTGACGTTTTATGTTTACGCGTGGACCCATGGCTTTGATGAGAAAGATTCTCCCTCTTTAACCTCTGAAACCTGCCTCTCTTTGACACCTCGTGTAAACGACATAGCTCTTGCCTTAACATGCCCTCTCTGATAACACGTAGGAATACGGTTATATAAACGTCCGTGTCATGAGCGCAAGATACATCTGGTAGACATTTGGTCGGGGAATGAAACCCTGTGATGTCTACGTCAAGATATTAATTCCGACATCCTGTCTATCACGAACACTGTTAACATCCTCATGTGAATATAAGCTTGAAATCTCATCATTGGCTTTTTATAAGTGTGCTATTGCTTACTTGGTGTGTTTGTATTGATTTAATATGATAAATACGAGGATGAATGAAGGCATTTAGACGTTACCTCATGTGTAGTATCTGATAGCTGGACGTTATGTATGTCTGTGGTGTATTCGGTGAGAATTAATTGACTCTTTCGTCGATGGTGTTGTTCACAGCACTGGTTACACTGAACTTGTAACATCAATACCAACACACATGAACGAATGGTGGCATTATGTGTAATGACTGATGTTTGAGCCAAACAAATTATATGAAAACATTTGGTTGCAATTAATTGCGTCCTTCATAGGTACACCGCATGTGGGTTAATATTTTCACTGCGATGTTTATAATGAATTTGCATGATCCATACCGACGGAACTGTGGAGGTCGTGGCTGTCGTACCTGCCGGTGTAATTATGAATAAAAGTGGAAGTGAAAACAATTAATGGAATACCAGCACATAGGAGTTATAATGATGACAGTCACGACACCAGGTGTCGTTTAATTGTGAAATAAACAGGCAGTTCATTATCAGTAACAATAATCATTCTAAACATGTATAGCAAATGACTTGTAGTAAAGGTAAAGGTATGTCACAGCATGACATTTTTTTAATGAAACAATTTTATAAAATTGATTGTGCAAAATGAATGCAACATTCTATTCACCTTGATATAGTTATCTTATACCTATATTTGATATCCATACTTTTATATTTAACTAATTTATGTTTTACTGCAACATTCTAAAGCTAGTTTATATTTCCATGACTTATTTATGAGCCGCTTTACATCGCTGTCATATAAATATTCAATATTAAACTCGAACGGATGAAAATGTTAATAATACACGGCCCTGTTAAAGCAAGTATACACTAGAAAATTGGATCTGTCCAAAAATTACAAACCTTTAGTTATCAGAACAATCGCCGCAACACTGCCAACTGTAAATGTTTAAGCACACCTATAACACATTTTAGCCACCATGTGTATATTTTCTTTTGACCGGGAGTTTGCATGACAGACATGATATAGGTGTCATGTTTCCTAACATGCATTTCTAAATATGTTATGGTTAAAGTGTCGATCAGATTTATTCTTTGCTGTTTATTCAGTTAGCAAATCAGTTAACTATTCCTCAGCAGAACCATCAAATAGATTTCCAAAACTGAATTAGAATAAATTGGTCTTACAAGGACAAGTTTCCCCTGCAAGTGAAATCCAAATCAATCTCACCTCTCTTCCATGACAACAACACATACCATGATTTAGCCTTCTTCATCCATGACAAGAAGGTCCGGACTCGTCTGTTTCTAAATAGAAAATCTATTATATAATCCTAAGGGAACCAAATTACCTTATAGCTTACTTATCACATAGTATCATGTCACAGATACTTGATCATGCAATGTCCATTCATTAGTACCATGGGTAGTATGCTTCTTTGACATGTCCATATTGTTGAGGACAATCGTTTCATTAACCATCAAAAAAGCGTCCAGCTACTGCTAATTACCGTTAAATCGTTCCCTGTCGGAATGGTTTGCAATTTAGGTATCTAAATGTATGTCAAAGCGATTTTTGAGGATGTGTTTTTCGTGTTAATGTATAACGTTATCGCCGGTTTCAATGGTAATGGACCCATCCCTCAATCTTAAATGGGTTTTGGAACATGTTCAAGTAAAGTGACATACATTATTCTTAATGATTAAGATATACATAAGGTGTTGCAACACAGACAGGGACAGAATCCCATTACATGTCTATTCTCATTCAGACATGTGTTGGATGAAGGGAGGGATCGTGCTGTGAAATGACAAGTATAAGAAATGGAAGGCGTTACGGTCAACCAAATAACATTATAACATTGTAAGTGTTCCACACAGGATTCGACATGACATTTGATTCTGTGAAAAAGGTATTTTTAGATATGTTGCTTTTGGATATTTTAATAGCAACAGAATGGTTTCTGAGGTGACCATTTAATCGTTTTTCAAGAATTCTGCTTAATACTTGTATAATTTATTTATTTCTTTTCCAGATGATGAGTGTGAATCTCACAACCTATTTCCCTCAGAAGACGAAATACGACAGAACAAAGCGATCGACAGCCACTATTTAGGTAAAACCTTTAGTTAAAGTAATCTTAATGTATATTAAATATATCATTTTAGGATTAACAATCGTGTAACATAACCCTAATATTAACTGATACATGTATTACACTATGAAAAGTGAAGCGAATATTTACACATATCTGTACTTAAACTCCCAACTCATATTAATGTCACTCCGCAATCAGTCAGTATGCTGAAAATAATCTATTATGTTATTGCAAGAACAAATCGAAGAGTAACATGTCTTCATATACCTGCATTCATTCTACACATATAATACCTTACCTATTCCTGTAATATAATCCTGTTCGACAATCGTATCCGTAATATTTCTATTAATATCATTAACAAGAAATAGATTACAAAACAATGAAGTTACAATGGAATAAATAAAGCGACATGTCGCTCGTCCTACTAATAGACGATTTTTCTCCCTGGCACTATATCCAATTAAATGCGAGAGCCCATGACGGGTTTGGCTGAGAGTTTTATGGGAATTCGCGACATACATCTTTATTTCCCCAGTAAATAAATCACTTGCACAGTTGTACAAATACATCTTGTGTATAACTCACACGATTTCTAATATACACGACAGTACCATTAACAAGTCCTGTGGAATCATATTTCCTGTTGGTTAATGGTTCCATCAATGACACTCGGCCTACTATGATGAGATGAATCTCATCCATCGGTTACACTGGTCGTAGGATGATAATGTAGACGTTTGTGTATCTGCTAGGAGTATGTTCATTGTAAATTCTGTTATAATATACTGCAGAAGAAATCATATGCTGTCGCAATTTGTGAAACTAGATCATATATATTAATAATGGACCTGACGTTTGTCTTCATTATGCGAGTTTCATTTCTGTAGGGATTCCCGAATGACCTTACTCTCTGTTTGAGAGTTCATGACAACCAACCATGACAGTGAAGGTGAATGTGTCTCCATGGTACAGTTAAACCATGTTTCTGATCTTGTGATTCCAGTAGAGTGATTCCAGTAGATAATCCACCCAACCATAATGGGCAAAGAAAACGTCAGATATAACAATGGGGATCCGTATTGCAACCAGTGCCATGCTCACCATGTGCCCTTGCATACCTTCAGCCAAAAAGACAAATACAAAAGTACACGAAACATGTTGAACATGCGCAACTGCTAAACATCCTACCCCATCACATCACCTTAAAGTTTAAGTTATACGTTTAACACGAATGAAGTGTTTTCATTATTTTGACGATGGTTGCGTGATATAGGTCTTGCATCAGATGGATACATTCACTGATTCAAATCTTGTAAAAATTATTGTTCAGATGGGCCTAACGAACTGATAAAGATTGGTATGTACCCTTCACAACGATGTCATTTATACTTTCTTGTTTGTTCTATTTAGTTCCTCCAAGCTTCACTTTAGCATCCGCTGTCTAATATTATACAATAGTATCAGCTTCACATCCCTTACGTTCTGCATGGAATTTTAGATAAGGAAAAGATACTCCGCATGACATTAACACACAATATATGTGTCGACTGTTGTTTGTAGGTGCAATTTACGTATTGAGTATTTAATAAGTCGCTTCAGGACAAGCTCTTATTTCATAGCTTTGTTGTGGTGCTATACATTTGTTGTCAATTTCAATTTTGAATATGAAGTTGCATGGTATATTATAGCTTGTATTTTTGTTCTATCATGCATATGTGATAAAACCAAAGAACGGATACATGCATATATATTTTATATCGGTTATCATGCAGCATTTATAACTGTAAGGACAAGATAAAGTTCAAAGACACCATAATGTCATTGGATTTGTCATCATTATTATCTTTGGAAGAGTAATGCGACTGTATTTGTTTTAGCTTTTTTCTTGTGGATTTGAATATTTTATGCATCAATTTTCATAGGATACTTCTCAATAACCCCTTGCTGTTGTAACGCTTTGAGTTATGTTGTTGAGAATTTTATCAGACATTGGCTATTGTGCGATATTTCAAATGAAACTAGTTTTATTCCCTGGCGTTTCCGTTATATTTACAATAGCATGTTTCTACGCTTACGTGAAACTGTCCTTGCAAATTTCTAAACCTTCAAAGCCTCAAGAACGGTGATGACCAGTGTAAGTCATGCAACTTGAATAACACCAAGTCAGGTGAACAAATGGCTTAAATGGTTAGAAGTCATTAAGCAAGTTCTTACAACACTTGATATAAGTCACTTAATAAAGCCATCTTGCATTTAGAGTTGCCCTCATTAAAGTGGAAGCTTAATGACATATACATAGACATCTGGGTTCGTGAAGGTGATCACCTGCACATGATGTCATAAGTGATGAGGCCTACGAACAAATGGTTAGTACAGCTTAGGTCGCCCATGTCGTCGGTATATTAAAATTGTTATTCTTTTTTCACAGAAGCTAGGATGTTGTGTTATGTTCTTCTACATTATGTTTGCAGAAATATTTTGGGAAATCAAATATTGTTAAAACATCGAAACATTCTTCTATTGGGTCATGTTCAAGTATCAAGTATCAGATATATGACATATCATGCCATACTGTGTTGAAGACTTGTTGTAAATCTGTGTAACATATTGGGAATATAAGCAGGATCCAGTATTGTGGTTAAGTTGTAACAGGAAAACTCTACTTTCTGTAGCTTTAACGGCATTCTAGTGCATTCTTGTAGTATGTTTGCCGGGGTAATATTCTGAACTAAAAAAGTAAGGGATCATGCACATTTTGGGGGAATATTATTTGTAGTGGGGAAGACTGACCACACATTTCATAAAAAATATCATCAAAAATATTCATGATCCCCAATATGTTTTGTTCAGTATATATCAATCAATGTATGTGGGCTGAGATTACTTCTGTTGCATCCGTCTTTCAACACACGCACATGTCGATAGGTACATAGTCTATGTCCATTGTTTATTAAGTTTTCAACCTTACCATTTTGTCATACGTTGAGATGGCATTTAACAATTTCCATTCCATTGCAGACTACACAAGGACGGCGATTGCCTTCACGATTATCGCCCTAATATTGATGGTGATAGGTCATATGTTCGCGGTGTACACCTTGAAGCGACCTCGATACATCATCAAGAGACTGACTGCTCTGCTGCATCTCATGACAGGTATAAGGTCTTAAGTTAACGGGGAAAGTATACAGCTTTGTCCGCTAGCTCGAGAATACTAAATTCTGCTGAGGAGAAGAAAACATCCAAAGAGTGTAGTCCTCATTGTCTAGTAGTATTTCGGAGCAACATTCTAAACCAGTTTTCAATGCTTCAATTTTGATTCAACTGTGAACAACTGACAATAATGGAAAAATAATTTTATCTCGTCCAAGCAGGACTAGCTGCACACTCTGAGAACCAGTGAAATAAGTTTTCTCAAATAACGAGAGAGTGAGTTTGATTTTACGCCGCCTTTAGCAATATTCCAGCAATAGCACGGCGGGGGACCCCAGAAATGGGCTTTGCACAATGAACCCATGTCTGGAATCGAACCCGGATTTTTCAGCGTGACGAGCGAACGCTTTAGCCACCAGGCTACCCGACAGCCCCCTAAAATAACGAATTTCTTAGGCTGCAACACATGAAGTATAAAATCTCGTGATGTGTTCAACAAAGTAAATGTGTGAAGCCCCTTTCTGGTCTGATAATATTGCCGGAACAGTGCTAAAACCGGTTTAAAAGCGGCTTAAAACCATACCCACTCTAAAAACATCTTCTTTTCCTCAGGATATTCTGAGTAGGTGACGTGAGTTATCATGAACAAAATGCCCCCACTAATATGATGTAAATTAGATAACACTGATTTAGGTTATTTTCTCATATACTCTTTACAAACCCGTTTTTCTGCACCCAATGGTTTACGATGCTGAGGGTACTGTAGAGTACAGCTTGAGTTGCCATGCCATATATTCAACCCTTTCCTTCCATAAAACATATGTTTGATTCAACCATTATTTGTTTCAGCTGCCTGTATTCTTGTTCTGAACGAAGTGTTCTCCAGAAGCGTGGAACATGGTTTGGAAAATCTTCCAGACAAGTATCCTCAAGGGGTAGAATCCTCATACGGCTTTTCTTACGTTTTCTCTTGGCTTGTTTTCGTCGTATATGTCACCGCGGGACTTTTGTTTTTATTCATTTCACACAAAAGGAAGGCGGACATGGCCGATACTGTTGATGTCATGGCGGAGCAGGATGAGCCAATGCAGCTGGGCAGAGTTTGAACGTTCCTGATGTCGTTATGTATGCGCAAGTGCAAGCAAGTGGCAGTTAAGTTCCGGTTCACCCGGAAGTAGAATTGTGCCTCTGACCACATTTTGATGGAATAATTCTGGACATAAAGGACACTTTAAGTGAAATAGCAAATAACACTGATGATACAATTAGCCACAAGAACAACACATCTTGCTAACATTGTGTTGATGAAGCAAAGAGAAACAGAAACGAAACAACTCAGGATGATCAGTTTCGCTTAATCTGACCGTGGCTGGCCACCTTACATTATGCAAAGCATGCAAATAATAAAGTGAACACATACTGACATATTATAACTACCAACCGATAAACGTGGCGATGCAGTGATGACAGTGTGCTTTACATGGATTGGAAAACAAGAGAGATCTAGCACCTTGAATTATCCTATCTCATGGATCGTTTGAACCGATGTGCATAACCTGGCCTTGACCTTCATTAATCATCGATGAATTTGGAAATGATGTCAGAGAAATTCCCATAAGTCGAATGGTGCTTTCCTTTGTGATATTGGTAATGATGAAAACCGCTGGTTCGTGTTCCTTTTCAATGAGATCAATCACCATTATTTTTCAACTTAGATTAGTTACAGTTTCGTGTGTTTTCCACTCCAAATGGCTTCCATTATTGATGACACTTCATTCTTCACTCAAATATGTGTTTATCAAGGATATTCACTGTGTGGTTTATATACGCCAATAATTTATGCATAAAGATTCCATAATACAACACCACTATTAACGTACATTATCATTGTGTAATTACCACTATCTCGTATAGTTTATCATGATATGAATACATGATCATGAATCAATATGTAGCCTAGTCTTAAACAACAATGAATTTCAAAGGTGCCATATTCATGTACATGTATGTGTTTCTTTGCAAGATTAAACAAAACGTAGTATTTCTTATCAGTTATATATATACCATTGGTTTGGCAAATCGTCTATGTAAAGAATATAATTCTTATGATATTGTTATGCTCAATGTGTAAAGTAATATGTAATCTTTAATGCAATTTCCATATTGATGCACTTTCTGTTGTATTTTGATGTGATTTCCATGTCATGTCAACTAAACCATCCTAATATCCAACACGGCAGGGAACCTGTATATAATATTATGTGCACTGATTTTCCAATTTCAAGCTTTTCAACTTTTCAACAACACCCCTCATCTCCCATGCATGATTCCGTTTCCAGTTCTTTAATACGCCATTTTTTCACTCCCTGATCAATCACGTGATGTGATCATTGAGTACGAACCTATGTCAATTTCTTCTTACACAATTGCATGTATTGTTTGTGTTTCTATTTTGCTTTTTCGTCATTGCCTTTTTGTATCACGCAACACTAATTCCAAAGACCTTTGTCTGAAGTGATGCAGATGTTTTAATTGTAGAGCACATTTGAATTCATCACGGATAGACTGGAGAGTTGTTGAGGGTTTGGGACAAGGAAATACATTTCTTTCTTTGCCCTTTGCCCTTTGACCTATGTCCTATTACAGATTTGTAAAATGTTGATAAAATTGTATGTACCACATTACATGTGTTTACCATAAAAGCGACGAAGTCTGACCATAGTCATAGGAAATATCTGCCAAATACAGAGTCCACTATACGAAGCCATTTATATATTTATTGGCTCAGACCTATTTTTTTTTAAAACAGTACATAAACTTTTCATTTGTAGTGTAATAATTTCAGAAATCTAAACATTCTTATACCTAATATCTAAACAAGTATGTATGAGTTCAACAATTACCTGACATCTTGTAATTCATATGTTTCGGAAATACACGCCTAGAATTTAGGAAGTATTTCCAGAAATACGATCAGCCAATCAACATTTTGTCCGGAAGGTAAAATAGCTGTAGGTTTGATCAATAGCTTTTAACGAATAGATACGGAAAAGGACTTGACTAAGTCGATGAATTGCGGAACTGATGAAGACCTAATGATCTGAATTTAGAATGTTAGGAATCCCCAGACACGACGTACAAAGGAATAACATGGCAGCGCATTTGCTTGATCTTAGAAACGTTTCACAAATTCCCTTTCTTCTTTCAAGAGAAGAACGGTGAAAAACGGTGTTGTATGTATTGTCAGTCTCACCGGCCTTGCATTATCGCATATTTCAAACATCCACAATTTACCTCAAAATGTTATCAGTGTAGTCTAGTTATACAATACTAGTTTTCTAAAACATATAAATCAATGTTATTTGCATAGAGGTTAAACATATACTGTCCCACTATTATATATCTCTTTTAGCAAAATATAGATTTTACGGGATAGATTAAGCATGTGTGTTTTGAGATGATTGTTAACAGCTTTATTACATATCTTTATTATTAGTTGTATTTGTCACCAGGTTAATTAGTATTCTTGCAGACAGTAATTGTAAATATAAATCGTGGAGGCCAGAGAAGAATCAGTCTCGATTATCTGCCGATCTCGATTATACTGAGTGGTGACAATTGTATGAAAATCTGTGATGACACTGGTGTTCGCGAAAAGGGTAAGCATATCCTGCTCATACATGTCCATACACATGTGTTAGCAATGATTTCCATGTGAAAAACTATTCTAAAAGTTTTGAGTTTTGTTTGTTTATGTGTGTTTATTACGTTTTCAAACCTTCGAATACAAGATAACCAGATATTGGTTATAATCCATGTTATGCCATTGTGATGTCCTCTTATTGTACCTACGTAAATCCTAGAACTCTCAAATGACTTTTTCCCTTTTTATTGTTTTAATTGTGTGTGTGTGTTTATATATATATATATATATATATATATATATCCACGCATTTTCAGTCTGATTGCCCTTTCTGTGACTATTATACCTTAGCCAATATATATATATATATATATTTATATATAAATATATATATATATCCACGTATTTTTAGTCTGATTGCCCTTTCTGTGACTATTATACCTTAGCCAATATATATATATATATATATATTTATATATAAATTTATATATATATCCACGCATTTTTAGTCTGATTGCCCTTTCTGTGACTATTATACCTTAGCCATCATTTTAGGTCACTCCGACCAAAGATCCAAGTGGGATTATGTCATTGCGCGTTGTCTGTCTATCTTTCTGTCCATCCGTTTCCTTTAGGCATCTACAAACCGGAGACTATACCAGCATTGAATTTAAGTTTTGAAAACCTTTTGAAAACCCTATTGCCCTGGGAGCTGAAAAACCTTTCAAACGGGTTCCTATTTCTTTTTGATTGAGAAACATGTTTTCCGAAACTAGAGAGAGATGACGCTACGCACATGATAATGAAGGCTTCCCCATCGGCTTTTGCCTTTGTAAACGATATCGCTAAAATAACATTGAATTACCTCTCAAAAACTTGACTTTGCTATTGCATCGAATACACAGCATGAAAAGTGAGATTCTCCTTTCCGAAAACCTTACCATTTTGGATCCGGAAGGGTTCCTAGCCAGAAACCTTGCGGATATCTTATAAAAGTGTGTCAAACATGATGAGATGTGTATTTATGTGTTTTTCACTGAATTAACCAAAACTTTGTTAGTTGATTTAACACTACCAACGTTTTGACATCCTCTGCCTTTGAGGTTTGCGGAAAACGGAAAGCTGATTTTTCATGATGTGGTGTCATCCTCAGGCCCGATTATCCCCCATGCCGGCAAACCATTTTACGCAGCCACTTGGCATCAAAACGTTAAAAACAGCCACACATTGTTCATTATGAAAACAATTACTGCTTTCAACTTCCAGTCAACGGCGGCTGCATGGGAGGCACGGTTGTCTAAGCCTGTGCAATTCGGAGTTGCGTTCCTTGGACACACCAGAAAACCATGATCGTGGGTTCGAATCTCATTTCATCCCGATTCTTGGTTTGTCAGCACCATACCTGTGCTCGTGGGTTTCACCATAGTGGTAAACGTCTAAGACCTGCATCGCTTCGGGATTTCCTCCCTCAATAAGCTGACACGTCGTGAAAGAACGAATACTGTTGAAAGCTGCGTATACCCAATTCACTCAATCACTCTTACCAACGCCCTACAAGCATATAAATATGGATGTATCACACTGTATATGAGCGACAGTACATTGGTGTTATGTTTAGACGTGTTCCTTGTTCTTGAGTTGTGTTATAGCCTTATCAATACCCACTGATCTCACGATCACATTGTAAGAGTCTTTGCGATCTGTTACCATAGTTGATCGTTGTAACACCAACATACGATCTGAGTTACCAGATCGAAAGACCTTGATTTAGTATATGCACTTTTTACGGTTGTCCTTGATCTAATATGGCACGCCCCATCTCCTTGAAACAGATCTCTATTTTGTTACTGTTTGATATTTATTGTTCTGTCCTTTACACATCGAATAAACGACGAACACCCTTAATGATTTCGTGTTGTAATTTCCTCTCACCTTGTGCAGTCGTATAAATAACGGAAATTAGTTACCGTGAAACTAAAAATAACAAACAATTAAAAATATCCTTTTAACTTTTCACACAAAACAGCGACATCGGAGATTTGTGGAACTGTTCAGCTTGATTGTTGAAATCACAAATTAGCAGTTCTGAAAGATATTTCATCTGTGTTATATTTCATTTGCAAGTTATATTTCATATTCGTTTTGGTTTAGTTCTGAGAAGTTGGATGTTTGGCGGTGATGTTTGGCGCATTGTTAAGACAGAACGTACAAACAATGTGACTTAAAGAACCTACATTGCATATGGACTGACACAGAGTGTAATACATGTCTTGCCAAATAAAGCAGGTATTGACAGACGTCGACCTGACGTCGACCTGACGTCGATCTTGAAGTGTCAACAACGTTCACTTCCATGTCTCGTTTTAGAAAAATCTTATATTACTATTGTCCCAACGTTCTTACAATATGTTGAGTCAGCATTAAGGATCCACAATGCACTGTTTGACGTTTTCCTTTCTACATCATCAGGTCTAACGCCATAATATAACAGCAGAGTTCAAAGCGACGTTAAAGGAAACGCTTAACCTCATTAGATCTTCTCCATTCACACTGACCGTGTCCGGAGTCACTAGTTGTTCGTTCGAATTTAAGTTTGATTCTTGGTCTGTCAGCCCCAGACCCATGCGCCTGCGTATACTGCCTGTCTTAAACTTATTAAACTCGCCCATTTCAGTTAGTAAGTGAGTGAATTAAAGACTTTGATTTATTGCCATTTTCAAGAATATACTGAAGTTATATCACGACGTGCCAGCTTTATGTGGGGAAAAGGCTAAAGTGATGCAGGTCTTAGACGTTTTAGTGAAACGTACGAGCACAAGTATGGTGATGACAGACCTTCAAACATAAACGGGGGAACCAGGAATCGAAACCATGATCACAGGTTTCTGGCCTGCCGAAGTGACGCAACTCTGTACAGCGACTTGGGGCGCCTTATACAATAGGGGCACCGTACACTATCTCGTTTCGCGTTCTGCGCCTGGACATTTAGCCATAAGTATGTGTTTTATAGTGTTTCACACTTTGTAAGCGGTGAAGAGAAAAGGAACAGACTGAATTTTCAGTCCTACGAACTCCTCAAGAAATGTTAATTACATTCTTCAAAGTTTCTCATTTCTTTAACAAATGTGCCTGTATATTTAAGTGGACACAAAATGGTGTCTATTTTCGGAGATATAACCTTTCACGTATTTCAAGGGTTGTAAGTTTGCCCGTACGTGCTGTTTTATTGACCCTAAATTAGGCTAACAAACAAGGTTGTGCAAACGATGATGAAATTACTAGACTATATATTCTGAAATACCTAATGGTTCAACGCTCTATCGTCGTTCATTGCACTCACATTGAACAACTGTAGATTCGAGATCAGCCATCTTCAATTTCACAAACCCAAACTTTATCCAAAAGGAAGTTAATAGCGACCCATTGCATTGGATACAATGTCTCCGGAAAATAGTTTCTGAACTGGTTCTGGTTCTGTGCCAGCTGGAACGCCATCGTGACTGGTAAGCTCTCATCCTCATCACCTGACTGTCTGTTTCCATCAGGGGAGCCGAACATAGCTGCACTCGGCCGGGGACTGGGTAACGTGGTGTGGTTAACGTCTTAGAGAGATCTGTATTTCCATTTGCTGGCTTTGGGTGATTAGTTTTTAAATACTGTATCGCTGTGTTTTCTGTTAGTGATAATTCACTAAACATTGAGTATTAGCTTTTTAGAAACAGAAACAGAAATATAACTATGCTAAACATACGTCAAAGTATGAAATGCCAAAAATGCTAGGTATTGTAACTTCGAGCTTACATACACATACAGGCAGGGCAGAACATTCTCAACCGTTTCACAAACACCCGGTGTCATAACTGCTACTTTAAGTTGCCGTTTTCGTTGTGACAATGATACGAAATTCATACTTGTTAGACAAGGAACATTTAGCATCATTTCAGTCTTGAAAATCATACTTGTTAGAAAAGGAACATTTAGTATTATTTCAGTGTTGAAATTCATACTTGGCAGACAAGGAACATGTAGTATCATTTCAGTCTTGAAAATCATACTTGTTAGAAAAGGAACATTTAGTATTATTTCAGTGTTGAAATTCATACTTGGCAGACAAGGAACATGTAGTATCATTTCAGTCTTGAAAATCATACTTGTTAGAAAAGGAACATTTAGTATTATTTCAGTGTTGAAATTCATACTTGGCAGATAAGGAACATGTAGTCTTGCTCTAGTGTTGAAATTCCATATCTGATGACAAAACTCGTACGGGTCGCCATCATCGACGAACACAGAAGGCTATTTGTCTAACCCGGCGAAATTCGCTGTGGTGAGTTGCATGCCCTTGGCGTACCAAAAGCCTCCTGAATGAGGGGTCGAATCCCAGATTGGCCCTGACTCCTTTTTTGACATCATATTTGTGGGTTATATATAAATCATAAACGTTTAAGACCTGCATCACGTTGAGATTTCCTCCCGTATCGTGCTGACACAAATAACTGAAATACTGTTCAAACCAAACTCACTCACTTACTCTAACGAACAATGGTGGCGGTCGGGTAGCCTGGTGGTTAAAGCGTTCGCTCGTTACGCCGAAGACCCGGGTTCGATTCCCGACATGGGTACAATGTGTGAAGCCCATTTCTGGTGTTCCCCGCCGTGATATTGCTGGAATATTGCTAAAAGCTGCGTAAAACCATACCCACTCTCACTAACGAACAATGGGAAAATGGCGTCAGCCTCTGTTATTGACACCAATTATTCACGTTACTTAATAGATATATAAGGGTCGATTTGGCAAACATCGATTGATGGATCTCATATTCTCAACATACACAATAAATATACCAGCCTTCAATTCACCGGAACTTATGTTTTCAGACTATATGTAACATTTGTAAGGGATATTAAATTAACAGATCAAAGACGCGTCAGATTCTATTAACTTTTATTGAAGCTAAGCCCCCTAATTTCGACAGATCTGTTATACGTTTTTGTACCAG